GGGGGGCGGGTGCCGCCCCCCATAGGGTTTTTTTCGCGATAGCTCCGAACACGCTGGCGATAGAGAGCTGAAACTTGGCATACCTGACCTTTGATCCAAGCCGCATCTTTTGACACCAACCGCATTTTTGGGTCAGGTCAGGTCACTGACCTATGACGTCATAAGTGAACCTCTGCACGGTCTTCAGATGTCGCAACTTCGCAACGCCCTCACTGCCAGAGGAGATGTCACAGGGAAATGAAACTTGCAGAATCTAGTATCCATTATGAGTCTCACAACTTGTATATCTCGGATTTTTCCTAAAGGTCATATGAGGTCAGGTCATTTTCGTGACCTCACCATTATAAGTCAATGGGGAAAAATGAAAACTGCTATTCTGGCGCCGGGAACGATCTCCAACTATCTCATGCACACAGAATCGTGATTCGATGCACTCCTTGCAAGGTTAGATGCGTCACTTTTGCAATGTTGACCTTCCGTGACGTCATTTATGACGTCATCAAGGTCATATTAGTTTTCCGTCAATAACTCCCGATCAAATTGAGCTAGCGAGTCGAGAAAGCCACCAATGGACTCAGGAAGACCTGCCGAATCGAATGATATGCGACATGACCTCTTTTGACCAACTTTGTGACCTGGGGGTGCTGACCTGACCTTGACCTGAGGTCAACACCCTAAGTTGACCTGACCCGAACAAAAAGTATATCATTTGACGCGCCTGAGCGAGGCGAACACGATGCTGCCAAAATCGTGGCTCTGCGGCCGTTTTTTGCGAAGTTATTGACCAAAAACTGAACCGTACCCTGGGGCACTTGACCTGACCTCAGAGGTCACCGGTTGACCTAGGACCTTAAAATCGGGTACCAATCTCTGCGTCTCGTAACGGCGCACACGCTCGTTTTTTCCGCGACGCGCTAGCCCCACCAGGGGCGAAACGGCGAGGGGGGGTCGTACGCGCCCCCCCCCCCCCCTCGGCCGGCGCGTATGTAGAAAACCAATAGGTCCGGCGAGGGTTAACCAGTATAACGCCTTTTGGGGCGACTAACGGAGCGAGCGAGAGGGTGAGCCTTGGACGTGCGAAATTTCGAGGGGGTACCTCCAGCTGACTTGTGCACGGCACCCTACTAACCGGTCTCTAGCGATGTGCCAAATTTGAGCACAATCGGTCCAGCCGTTCTCGAGATCTGGAAGCGGCACCCTGCACGTGCGCACGTGCAAAATGGGTCCCAACTGACTTTTGCACGGCACCCTACTAACCGGTCCCTAACCATGTGCCAAATTTGAGCGCCATCGGTCCAGCCGTTCTCGAGATCTGGAATCGACCCCTGCACGTGCGCACGTGCAGCAGCACCCCAAGTCTTGCACATGGATATGCATTGCCTAGCGGGTGTCTACCTACATGCCAACTTTCAGCGCAATCGGCCAAGTAGTTACCGAGATATTGCAACAATTACAAAAGTGACACCTCTTCGTTTTGCACGTGGCACGTGCATAAGGGGTCACCCACATGCATCGGGAATAGTCCAATACTTGGTAGAAGGAATGAAGCTACCCTACAAAAATTACCGCGTGTAAATCGGTCAAGTGGTTGCTGAGATATAAGCCTCGCAAAAGCGTGACCACGGCCGGCCGGCCGGCCGCTCATACTCAGAAATTTCCGTTAATCGGAAAGACTACGCTCGCTTCGCTCGCTCCGTAATCAATTGCTGTCATTTATCACAAACTTTTTTGATGCAAGTAGCAAGTCATTGCAATCATTACATCGCAGCTGAAACCACAGGAAAAAGGCATAATGGGAAAAATCTTCTTCACGTGGCACGCGCTATTCCATTTTTCCATTTAAAGTCTATAGAGTTTCGAACACTTATTGCGCCATCTCTAATTTGCAAGAAAATCTGACGTAGTGGTTTATAGTTTCCAGCTATGTTCTACATGAGATGTTCAGTTGCACAACCGTGCGCCATATTGTGGCGCGATAACCAACCGGCAAGCTGCAGTGACCCGGCAGTACGCATCCTTTCAATGGCCCGTATCAATACGCCGCACGGGGTCCGGCGGCGGCCGTTCGGTCTCGTTAGCCGCACGTCGACACGGTCGTTCAGCAACCACCGCCGCGCCGCGGCCAGCTGCAGCCGCCGCCATTTGCACAAAATTGGCCACCGGAGCGGCGCGGGCCCATCATTGCGGCGTTACAGCCTCATATTGAAATGCAGAATGTGTCGGATAACGCTCGGTGACAGTAAATTCGCATGTATCTGCCGATAGGAGGTGGTGTTTCGATGGAGAGTCTCGGCGGCAGATGGCCGGGCGGAGCCACCATGGCTGCAGGAGACTGCTGCTGGCAGCTGCTGCCGGCGGCCGCGGGACGGCACCAGGATGACGGTCGCCGCGGTGGAACATGCACGTGTGTGTGTATGGGGGGGGGGGTGAAGCAAAGAACAAGGGAGAGGGAGAAAGAGGGATGAAAGGAGAATGCCGACCAAATGGTGGTTAGCTGAAGTTAGCGGGAGTAATACACAGCAAAAAAAAAAAGAAAGAAAATAATCCACCTTAACTCGTAGAAAGGTCGTACAGTGCCCCGGGAGGTCATTTGTACTATTTTCTTTGAAACAAGGTTTAAATATGGAGGAATTTACGCAGTATGCCAAGCAGAGTTTGGTTCGTACGTCTGATCAAGAAAATCGGGCAATCGAAAGCTTTGTGTATGACCTCAGTCAAGCGACTCCAGTTAAAGACCAGTTAAAGATCATCTCACTCAACTAACTTCAAGTGGCTGCAGCCGATGTTATATAGAGGCCAGTGCTATAAAAAAACACAGCTGGGATTAGAAGCAGGGAAGAAAACGAACCAATCCACTCACATTAACTGGGCATTCAACAGCTAAAAAGTGTGATGACTTCTAGCGACCGGCAAACACCTGTTTTTGTGGTATAGCTGAACCAGGGCAGCAGAGCCCTCTCACTAGCGATAGGAGCAACATAAACACAGCAGTCTGCAGGCTGTCCGGGCTCGCATAGGAATGCGTTGCGCGCGTGACTGGCACCACGCAGTGCTGGATTCACAGCGTGCAGTGTGGGACGGAGCGGAGTGAGACGAGGCAGGAGAGAATCTCGCAGTTGGAGCATCAAACATCCATTCCACTTGAGTGGCCGGTGGCAGAGGCACAAAGTGATACTGTACTCTGGGTGAATTAAAAAGCCAGTGTTCTGTCGCGACAACGCGGAATCTGAACCACGTTTGGATATAGGGGAGAGTGGGGTAAGATGCCCAGGGTGGGAAAGACGCCCCACCCCCTCTAGCGGGGAAACAAAGAATCGAACCTGGAAATTAATGTTCTTAGCGTAAAGCGGAAGCCTGCCTTGTTAACTGCACAAATATTTGCGAAGCTCAGTTGGGCAACGGCTGGCTGGTGATTGCATGTTTTTTATTTGCTGCTTTCAAAAAATATTTTGGCGTCAAAACATTGTAAATATCAAAGAAGGTAGATAATTTTTGCGTCCCTTGCTATAGTCGTGATACATTAACATGCGTGTACTGTGTCCCAAACAGTTTGTTTCAGGGACTCAGGGTGTAGTTTTATGGCTAACAAATTGTGTTGATTTATTGTTACTTCGGTACCTTGGGGTAAGATGCCCCCTGTCCTGATGGGGAAAGACGCCCCCCTAAATCCGTAGGCTGTCCTTCAAGCAGCCCGTCAAATCATTTATTACATACTTGTGATGAGAGACAAAAGCCGATCTGGGACTATTGAGAGTCCGGTACGGTCGGGTGCTCCCCATGCCGGTCTCTCGGCCCACACAGCAACTTTTTGGGCGGCATCTGACTCTGAGAGCCCTCACGACGGCCTCTGTTGGCCCCATTATTGGTTCCAGGGCCCCTCACGACATCCTTTGAGGGCTCCCACGTTGGCTCCACGGGCCGCGCTGGCATCTGAGGTCCCCACGATGGGCTCGAGGGCCCTCAAGCATCATGAAGACCTATAAGGGCCCCACAGTGGTCTCCGAACGCCACCACGGAGGCTTGTTTGGCCACGCTGGACTATGATGGCCCTAACGATGACCTCTGAAGCCCCTTACGACTACTTTTGAGGGCCCTTACGATGACGTTTGGTGTCTACTGCAGGCTTGAAGGGACTACTGATTCGTTCAGGCGATTCACGTGCCTATTTTTGTCACTTATAGTACAGGGGGCATCTTACCCAACGCCAGGGGGCGTCTTTTCCACCCTGTGGGGTAAGATGCCCCCTTTCACTTCTTCAGGAAAATGCTTAATAGCAAAAAAAGTTATCATGTTTCAGGCACGAAAGTGTGATATATTTGGAGAAAAATGATGTCGGCTTCCATTGAAACTCCAAGTTTTGGCTTTCCGATCGTCATTTTCGAATAATATATGACATAGTCAAACCCTGGGCATCTTTCCCCACTCTCCCCTACCGTGGTAAACGCCACAGATAATGTCCGAGGAGCCAGCAGCAGCACCGGAAGAGATTACCATTCCAGAGGGATGGGAGCCAGTGCCGATCGATTCCAACTATAAGGCTCCCGGTTACCGCACGTTCAGGTACCGTGGAGCGATAATGAATAACATTCATCTTAAAGGGGGTATCATGAAACAGTTGGAGCAGTTCCAAGGCAGACGCTCTGATATAATCGTGGCCAGCTTTGCGAAGTCGGGCACCACTTGGCTTCAGGAGATCGTGTGGCGTGTCACCCACCAACCGTCAATGAAAGACGAGAAAGAACCAAACACCTGCCTAGAGTATCGATTCACTCTGTTAGGAACGCAGTCGCAAGAAAAATTCATGGAGATGGCTCCTTTGCATGACGCAACGGACCAACGATTCATCAAGACACATCTGCACTACCATATGCTACCAGAAGGCCTCAAGACGAGTGGTGCCAAAGTGCTGTACGTGTCTCGTGATGCAAGAGATGTCTGCGTTTCCTTCTACCATTTCTCGAGAATGTTCAATGTCTTCAAGTACCGTGGTTCATTCGCAGACTTTCGAGACGGCTTCATGCGTGACGCCCTAGTCTTCTGTCCTTACCGTGAGCACGTGCAGGGGTACCTGGAGCACTCGGACACTGTGCTCTGTCTGTCGTACGAGCAGATGCACCAGGATCGCGGCTCGGTCGTCCGCAAAGTGGCTGACTTCCTGGGAGTGTCCCTGAGCGACGCCGATGTCGACGATATTGTGAAGAACACCAGCTTCGAAGTGATGAAGGCGAACCCGTACACCAACTTCCACCAGTGGGAGGACAACGGACTTCTGTCCGGCACAGAGGAGGGAACCTTCATGAGGAAGGGGGTGATGGGCGACTGGAGAAACTACTTCACCGAGGAGGAGAGCGAAGCCTTCTTGAAGTGGCGCAACGGAGAGGTCGCTTCACTAGAGTAGCGTCTCTGCATGCCAGGAAAGGAAATCTGTGCACAGAAATAATTTGTTGGGAGCATACTCGGGCGGAATAGGCTATCTTAAATCTTTAGGTTAGAAAGGTGGTGAGGGTCGAGGGGAGCTCACCTTGCAATTAAATCCATGTAATCAAAAGTTTTGGTTTAACCCTCGCCCGTAAACGGCGATCTGCCACCTTCGCCCATGCAGGGGGGGGGGTTGGTGCGACCCCCCTTGGCGTTTGAAAACGGAGCGTCGTAGAGCTTAGCGGAAAAGACCAACGGATTGCTCTCGCCGAGATCTCGCGATTGGTGGTATATTTTTTGGTCCTAGGTCAACATTTAACCCACTTTTGACCGGTCAAAGGTCAAATTTTCGGAAAATAGACTTTTTTCAACTTTCGGCGGCGATTGCGGCAAAACGGTGGGAGATATCGACTTGAAACCTTCACTATCGTGTTCCTTGATCAATTCTCTATCGTTTGGTATATATTTCGTTTCCCTAGCTCTAAAAATGGCGCGTTGGGAGCGTCGGAAGTCGGCAAGGTCACAGTCGGCGGCAGAAATTCGAAAAATCAAAATTTAAATTTTTGAAATCTGATTGTATTTTTGGATTTGGGAGGTCCATTTGCTCCCTATAGAAGCTAATATTGCTGCATATTCCCATTGAGGTGACAAGAATTAGCAAAATAGTGGTTCGGGCGCTTTTCAAAAATAGTACCGGACGCTGTTCCTCTTGTGACGTCATAGCTCCGTGACCTGACCTGACCCGGTCAAGTTTCTTATACCATATGATAGCCAATACTTGCCCCAACATGCATGGGAAGTTTCATCACGATCCATCAACCGATCTCCGTACCACCGGCAGGAAACCTCGGGCGTTGGCACTCAGTTTGTGAAAATCCGGCCGGAGGCTGTTCCCTTTGTGACGTCATAACTCCGTGACCTGACATGACCCGGTCAAATTTTTTTTTACCAAAAGATGCGCAAGGTTTGCCCCATAAGGTACCCAAAATTTGGCGGCGCTGCGCGCCGCCGTTTTTGCACTATTTCCGAAAAACCTCAGGGGGGGGGGTTGCACCAACCCCCCCCTACATGGGCGAGGGTTAAATAGAAGTGAAATACTCTATCTACCCGGCAGTTGCTGGGATATTTCGCCACCCACCACCTGTTTGGGGGAGGGGGATATGGGGCCTCAAACGTTATCGCCGATAACTGGAGAATCAATAGGCGTAGCAAGACGGTCGAGGCGATCCCAACGAAAGATCGCTATCAGACGCTTAGTAATGAGTATTTTCAACTTGACGTCGAGATCAGTGGTCGGGTCAAAATCAGGCCAAACACCTGAACTTGGGATTTCAGTAGCCTGGACCTTGGGATCTCATACTGGGCGTATTTCGTCATAAGTTCTGTCAAGATTGTGCAGAATCTTTTATTGAAGTGCTTCACGAGTGTCAGAATCATGCAGCAGTCACTTAGCATAGGTCAGGGTTAAGGTCAGGTCAAACAGGTAAGGGAATTACCCTTCAAAATAAAAGTTTGCATTCGCGGCTTATGCTACCTGTTTTATCAGTATAGAACTCGATGGTGACATCCAGCTTGCCAAGCAGGTTGCGCAAATTTATCGAGTCCTGACGTCCTCTGGAACACATAGTTTGAGATTACTATACATGTACCGGTTTTGTCTTTCACCTTTACGTCTGCCTTTGAAAATTGACTCGAGGTAAACATTTTTTTTTAAATGAGGTCGAATTGACTCGAGGAGATCTTTGGTTATCCCCTGCTTTTGTCTCAGTAGCTCGCTTATTTGCACAGTGAGACAGGGGGAGGGCGAAAAACGATCACTGAGCTGCGGTGTTTGAAGCTATCCCTCTATAGGCCCGGCTAGATACAATTGCAAAAAAAACAGCCATATAGTATTTTCTAACATATCTCGCTTATGTCGCCTTTTCGCTGAAAAAGTGGCGTTTCAGATCCAGTTGCGATTTTCAAAGGCGTCAATTTTCTTGATGTTTGTCGCCAGAATTTGATTGATTGCTGTCTGTCTGCTCTATGCCTGCACTGGCTATCTGCTTGTCAGAGTAAATCGCTAGGCTGCCGCCGAACTGATAAAGTGGGAATATCAGTTGAATGTAACAGCACTAATTGCTTTGAATTTGCTCTTAGAAGGCACGCATAGGCCACAAATTCACCATTAACTCCTCTGCCAGAGTTGTTCCCGGCTGCAGCGAACACCTGTAACGGGTATCGGGCTGCAGAATGTTACCAGCCGCTGTCGGTCTCCGGGGGTGTCGTCTCCGGCGACGGCTGACGTACCTCCGCCGTCTCGGCTTCTCCCGGACGCCGGGAAGTGGCAAACTTTGTAATGTGCCATCGGTGACGGCTTCGCTGGAGAGAGCTCTGACAGCACGTGATCAGATAGAGAACAGCGTTAGCTGTGGAGGGATCGCGCTGCGGCATCCAACTCTGTCAGTACCCGTCGAGAACAGCTACACCCATCCCTTTCTCCCGCGGCGGAGGGCGATATGTTCGAAATGTTCCATATAACAGAAAGCCGCATATATTGAAACACATTCTCGCCGAGCCACTGCGACCGTTTCCATTACTTGGGGAGATCCATCATGTGTGAAATTGGCACTAGCCATAGCGGAGGACAGCTCACGGTGATCTATACGGAGCACCAATCACCTTTACCTGCGAACGGAGGCTGCACTATGATTGGTCGTCGATGGGGGAGTCGCCTGTCTTCGGCGAGCTGAACATGAATGGGACGGGCTGGGCCATGGCCGGCGACTGCTGTGGTTGATGTCGACCAGACACGGATGTCAGCAGACGCTTTATAATCCGCGGATGTAACGTCACGCGATGTGGGACATGTCAGCCATGATTAGATGAGAGGATGGCTAAGCAGAAGGTAGCCTTGAAGAGGTCAAGCTTGGCGTACGTGGAAGAGAGAGAGAGAGAGAGAGAGAGAGAGAGAGAGAGAGAGAGAGAGAGAGAGAGAGAGAGAGAGAGAGAGAGAGAGATAGAGAGAGATAGAGAGAGAGAGAGAGAGAGAGAGAGAGAGAGGGAGAGAGAGATAGAGAGAGATAAAGAGATATAGAGATAGATAGAGATAGATAGATAGATAGAGATAGATAGATAGATAGATAGAGATAGATAGATAGATAGATAGATAGATAGATAGATAGATAGATCGATCGATAGATAGATAGATAGATGGAGAAAGAGAGAGAGAGAGAGAGAGAGAGAGAGAGAGAGAGAGAGAGAGAGAGAGAGAGAGAGAGACAGAGACAGACAGAGGCAGAGAGAGACAGAGGCAGAGAGCAACACAGCTTTAAAAAGCACAGAACTTGACGAGTGACAAATATGTATCAGTTTGTTGATGGATTATTTCGAAATTGTGTCATCGTTGCTCTCCTTTCAATAGACGCATCAAGTCAAGTTCATATCAAGTGATTCCAGTAGAACCACTCTTATATCTGCAGGCATGTTTCCTGGAAGTGACTCTCTGATCTCTGATTGATCATGTCGCGGCTTTGAAGATCCAGATCAGCAAGCACTTTTGTCTAGTCAGTAACAGCTCCGCAGCCTCATCGGCATAAGTTCAAAAGGTACCTGGCATATTCAATACAGCGAGTTAAGGTGAGTGATATCCTGTATACAGATCATTTCATTGTCATTGCTCCAATGCTTACAAAGCATTTATATGATGAATTTAAAGGCGTCTGTTAAAGCTCAACTTAAGCACCGCTGGTGGTGGTGGTGGTGGTGGGGGGGGGAGGGGAGGGGCAGAATTCGCCCCACCCGTGTTTTGCCAATATCTTCTAAATGCAATTGGGCCAGCTACTTCAAAGTTGAAGTACCTTTACTTTAAACTTTAGAAAGAAAAGGAGAGGAGAGAGAGAGAGTGAGGAAAAGGAAGAGGGATCGGGAAGTGGAGAGGGGGAGAGAGAAAGGGAGCGGAGAGAGGAGATAGAGAGAGAGAGAGAGAGAGAGAGAGAGAGGGGGGGGAGAGAGAGCCGTCACCGCCATCACATACACAGAGGATACATTGCAGTGCGCCGACTGGGGCTGCCCGGCGTCGCTTTACGACGGCAGCATTAGCTCGGCACCGCCGCTACCTCCCAGGGGATAAACGCCCGTTTCTATTACACAGGATATTGAAGACTTTAAGGCGGCTATTTGGGCCGAATTGGCGCCGTAAAACAGCGCGCCGCACATCGTCCTACCTGCGCCGCCGGCCGCCATTGCTGGCCAGCCGCCGCCGTCTCTGTCGCTGTCGCTCGTCACCGGCCGCGGCCCGCCGCCTGCGCCATCAACCCCACCACGGCTCTACTACTCGTACTTTTCGGAGGTCGATGGGCGTCGGATGCGTCAGTTGGGCGAACAGCCGGTGACCGGTCGTCGTCCGGTCCCCGAGGGTTCGTCTGTCAGGGGACTGAAGCACCTGACAATCCGTCCAGCGAGCGACGCCAAACGAGAGCCGGCGCGCCGCGCTGCAATGGCCGGGCTCATGTTTTATTTAGGGGTCATTTGTTTTCAATACGGCTGGCTGTCAGGAAAGTCCAGTAAAAAAGGCTGCGCGATGTGAGGAGGAAAGGAGCAGCGATCGGGAGCGCTGCGTTGTGAGCAGCGCTGGCGACTCACTGCGGTGTGGTCTCTCCTCACCGCGGCTGCCGGGCGGACCGTGTAACGCTGGAGTTAGCTCATTAGCGTTATGAATTGGGGCTGTTGCTGCGAGCGGCTCATTAACTGACGCTTGTCTCGTTTGCTGCCCAGCGGTGTCTGGGTTCTCGACAGACGACGGTGGTGGTGAACGCCGGCGAAAGCCAGTCGAACACTGGCTTTGACACTCATGGCCAGCTTGACACTCATGGTCGCTTTAACCGGAAATTGTGCTCTTGGAACTCATGGTTCCTCAATGCTTAACATGCCACAAATGCACCAATGGTGACTTAACAGACCAAACACCCCAAATCTGCCCACTTGAAACTCACTAATCAC